TGAAGGTACATTTCCCCACTGACTGCTGAAAACGTACGGCACATTTAGATTAAATACACAGACTTTTCTGAAGCCAAAATTAGGTTAATACTATCCCTAAACGTTTTAATATTCAATGTTTTTTACTGCAAACATTGAGTAATATCCTCATATGTTCAAGCTTCCAAATGCCACATGTTTCTATGGCAATTCTTAGATTAACTGGTCCTGCAGTAAGGCAGTAAAAAAACCCAAACCATGTAATAAATAGTAATATACCCAGGTTACTGATAGGAGCCTGAGTATGGATCCTGGCTAATGAGATATGGGCAAGCTCTTGAGTGTCCAAACTCTGGTATTATTATTTTTTCCTGTTTATATTATTTATGACTGAACTATTTCTGTTACTCATATCATAAATGCTCATAAACTACTGCGTACAAAACTAAGTCTTTTTGTTCTGCATAACAGAAAGAGAAGCCTGTAAGGCACAGCTCTACCAATGGTACATTTACTAGAAAGCCTTCAGGAGTGTTGTATATGCAGCATGTACAGGACATGGAGTCAGGCCCAGCCAACATGGCTCTCAGAAAGGCAAGTCCTGCTTGATCTCCCGCCTTCTCTTTATGACTAGATGATCCACCCAGTGGATGAGGGAAAAGCTGTGGATGTTGTACACCTGGAGTTCAGAAAATCTTCAATACTGTGTTCCACAGCATCCTCCTGGCCAGGCTGGCAGCCCACGGCCTGGACAGGGGCTCTCTGCTGGCTACAGAACTGCCTGCAGGGCCGGGCCCAGAGCGCGGTGAGCGGTGCCACAGGGCTGTGCCCAGGGATCAGAGCTGGGTACACCCTGTTCACGCCTGTATCCATCATCCGGATGGGGCATCGGGCACACCCTCGCTAAGCTCACAAACAGCACTACGCCGGGCAGGAGTGTTGATCTGCGGGAGGCCAGGGAGGCTCTGCAGAGGGATCTGGGCAGCTTGGATCAATGAGCTGAGGCCAGGGGTGTGAGGCTTAAGGAGGGGAAGTGCCAGGTCCTGCCTGGGTCACAACAGCCCCATGCAGGGCTACAGGCTGGGACAGAGTGGCTGGAAAGTGGCCCAGAGGAAAAGAACACAGGGGCACTGATGAACAGCAGCTGATCAGGAGGCAGGAGCTGCCCAGGCGGCCAAGAAGGCGAGTGGCATCCTGGCCTTTATCAGAAACAGCGTGGCCACAGGACCAGGACAGTGATCAACCCCCTGCACTGGGGATCACTCCAGTGATCTAGAAGCTGCATTGGTGCTTAGACTGAAATGAGCCCAACAGAGCACAAAATGTTAACGTTGGGAACAGAACAGAGGAGAAATGGCAGAGCCGATGAAAAAATGCCACCACACAACTAGAAAATATCAATAAAAACACAGGGTACATCAATTAAAGAAAACAGAAAGGACAGTGTTGAGTGCCAAAGGTGACAGACAGATTAAGATGGATGAAACAAGAATTACACTCCAGATTTAACCACAAACAAGCCACCTGTGACCTTAGAGCAGTTCAATAAGCTCAATCACCAGAAAGAATTTTGGAGATCAGTGAAAGCGTGGGTGGACAGAAAGTCAAGACAATATAAAAATAAACCATTAAATATTTTGAAAGAACTGAAAACAGTATGTAGGACTGCAGCAAAAGGGCAATAAATCTTGTGAGGAACACATTTCAAATTAAATTTCTGAAGTGTTTACTTTCAATTAAGAGAAATTGGAGCAGTTTAAAAGAAACAACTTAAAGAGGGAGTTAGGAACAGTGGCAAGTGTAAGTGATTGAGTCAATGAGAAAGGATGACAATATTAAGCAGCAGGAAGTATAAAGGAGATTTCTAATTCACAAAGAGATGAAAAAGACTGTCATAAAGAGTTTACAGCTATTTTAAGCCAGTATATTTGATGCACAATCAAGATAGCTCTTTAACATCTTTACTTTAACATCTTCCTCTGACATTTAAAGGAAGCAATGAATTTTCAAAAAGCATTGCTTTAAATTCCTGAAGGAGAAATTTTAATATAATTCACTTTTACCTTTTTATCCTTACCATCTGGAAACATTTACAGTCGGTAAAAACTCTAGCTATCAGGAACAAAAGAAACCACACACACAAAATCCAGACTTCATACAGACTCCTCCAAACCAGGAAGTCACAGCAAATTGGGAAGGATCTGCTACTAGCACTTAACCTTCACCTTATGGAGTTTATTTTCAGGATTGAGTGGCATGCTGTAACTCCAGAGTGAAAGAATAAGGGAAAAAATGAGACGGAGTCAAAGTTTTCCTTTTCATATATCCTGGTTTTATCTTGAATTACTTGTTCAAGAGTAAAAAAGAAGGTAGATGTCGCCCTGATTTTGTAAGACTTTGTTAAGCCTTCTGATGTTTGCATTCTTTCAACAAACTTTCTCACACACAGTTCTGTAAATAACCTATGTTTTGCATTCTTTCACGGAGGTGGAGAGAATTGATGGACCCTTGGTCTGTCCAGTGGCATTGGAGAGGTGGCACTGTCACCCTCCAATCCACTGTCACCTTTGGAAAACTATAAATGTTGGAGTCAGAAAATAAAGTTCTTCTTCTTCTTTTTGTTCCCCTCGAGAGCAGCAGTGTCTGTGTCATCATTTCGTATCTTATCACAACAGGTAAAAGCAAAGCTTTATCACTAGATTAAGTGCTCCTTTCTTGTACCAGACTTTCATCTTATATTTTCAATGTTATATGAATTAAAAGCTCTCAGGAAGACTCTGTTTATACAAGTCCAAAGCAGCACACATGCAGTACCTGCTAACGTTCAGCCATTGGTAGGACGGCACCGTTCTGCTCCGAGCGAGCCTCCTCTGTCCCACTGGAACTGCCCCACGGCAGAGATGCTGTGTGTGAGCTCTGCACAGCTCCGTGTTTGTAACAGAGCAGGGGCAGAGATGCTGTGTGTGAGCTCTGCACAGCTCCGTGTTTGTAACAGAGCAGGGGCAGAGATGCTGTGTGTGAGCTCTGCACAGCACAAGATTTGTAACAGGGCTGAGGCAGAATCAGGCCCTGCTATCCCAGCCCACAACTGCCAGCTCAACTTCTCTTGTTCGCATAGAACTTACCAAATTTTCTTTTATTTTGCATTTCTTTCTAGTTATTACAAATTCTAACATCCACACATAAACACCCCCCTGCCCCCTTTCCTTTCCTCCTTTTCTTTAGCCTCAAGGTTCACTGCCATTAACCCTGAGGCTAAAGAAAAGATAATCCTGCCTCAATACAAGGAATTCATGCTATGGCTTTGGATTCCTTTTTCCACCCCATCCTCTACCAACCAGTCAGTTTAAATAAACCTACAGAATTAATCCCAAAGCACTTTTTATCCAACAAAGAACAAGTTAAAATCAAAATATTAAATGACAAATATTAATGAAAACTATTATTTAAGCCATTATTGTATTTTAATGTCCAAATCAAAGCTATCATCCCACCTGAAAGGGCAAAAGAAAAATTACAGAGAAGAAAAAGAAACTTAACTTTAAAAATTAAGATATGAGAAGCTAAATTGCCGCTGGTAACAGTCTCCTTATTATTGTATTTAATTCAAACTACCTGACTGAAACTTGCCTATGAAATTAATAGGTGGAGCCAGCCAGCCAGATCACAGAAGATAAAACAGATCCTTGGGATTGCAGTTGTTTCTTGTTTTTGTCCTCACACGCATAAACAGTCTTGGTTTTAACACCCTCTGGAGCAGTTTTACCTTTTGTGGCAGAGCTGTCAGTACAAGGAACCCATAAAGCCGAATATAATTTTTGAAAAACAAACGCTGATTATTACAACAAATCAGTTTAGCAAGAGTACTTGAAAGGCTCTCTATTCACAGGGTGGGACTACCCATGAAACTGATTTTATACAGTTTAAAGAAATTGACTCATGACAGAACACTGTTGTTCAGTTCATAAATGCTTTGTGTCAGGGGCATCTCAATGCCTCATTATTATTACTGAATTTACACACGGACTTACGCTCCTCATATAGCAAACTATTGTCACGCTAATAAAATGGTCTGGGGAATGATGCACACCAGAGGCTTGATCTTCAGAAGCTCATCATGCAGCTTAAGCTAATGGCAATTGCAGGCACTGAGGTTCATACGAGGATACGGCATTACACGATTTTCCCTGGGTGTTTGTCTCACTGTCAGATGTCTCTGAGGTCTCAGCATCGCCTCAGCTGTTGTTTCCAGCCTGTCCCAGCCCAAACTCTGTCCCCAGGTCTGCTAATTGCCCCTAATCCAGGCAACGGGAACGCCTCTTGCTTTCAAGCGAGGAAACGCCCCACACTGGGTGTCATGTACACAACACAGCTATTAAAATACAATTATACTTCAGGGTGAGGAAGGAATCACTTGTGGGAAGAGAAGGTTGTGAGATAAGGAAATTCAGGCCTGTCCCAGTGATTAAATAAGATACCGAAGATACCAAACGGGCAGCACGAGAACATCGCACCCTGCTGTGACAGAAGACTAACCAATAGCAGGTCCAGGGACAGCCCCGGACCACAAACAAAAGAAAGTTTTCAAACGCCGTCTTTTGCCATCGACACTTTCCCCAGAGCTCCTCGTCCAAGCCGCAGCTCCCCAGGAGGCACTGCCTGCCCACACAGCACACAGGGAGCCCCTCAGGGCCCCTCGGCTCCCGCGGCGGGCCTGGGGACTCGGGGCACGCAGCCAGCGCTGAGGGGAAGCTGCGCCCCGCCTAGGGAGCATCGCCTTCTGCCTCAGGGCTGGGGACACCCCCCTGCACGGGACAGCGGCGCGGGTGTCCTCCGGGATCAGAGGAAAAAAGGGTCCCTCTGCCACACACCCCACCCGCAACGCCACGCAGCCGACTAAAGGGAAAGAGGGCAGAGGGAGGGAAGAGCGCTCGATCCCCGCGCCAGCGCTGTCGCTCTGCTTTGAGCTACGGGGGGGGGACGAGGGCGGCCCCTCCATCTTGAGCCAGACACCGACTTACCCGCCCGGAGCCTCCGCGCGCTCCTATTGGCTGGGGCCTCCGCGGCAGCGTCACGTGGTCAGGGCAAGCCCCGCCCCTTCCCCCCGCCTGTGCCGGGCCCGAGCCGTTGGCGGGGGAGGTCCGCGCGCGTGCTGCCGGTGCGGCGCGTGCGCACGCGCCGGGGAAAAGGGGGGAGCGGCTGGGGCGCGCGCTGCTGCGCGTGCGCCGGCGGCGGAGCGGCGGGAGGGGCGCGAGGCGGTTCCGGGAGCGCGGGAAGAGGGGCGGGAGCGCGGGGCGCACGCGCCGGCGGCGGGCGGGAGCGAGAGCGGAGGGGGCGGAGGCGCCGCCGGTGCCGCCCCGCAGGAAGCGGAGCCGCCCGGGCCCCGCTCCGCGACAGGGCGAGGGAGCGAGCGAGTGGGAGAGAGGCCGGCAGAGAAGCGTCATTTTCCGCCGCGGTGCCGCTCCGCGAGGACACCGGCCGGGAGCCTGGAGCAGGGCAGCCTCCGCCCCTCGCTGCATCCGCCCCGTCCTGTGAGGCGGGACGTGACCGCTCCCCGCTGCCCGGCGCGCAGCAGCCGCCCCCTCCCAGCGGAGCCGTGACCCCTCCTCCGGCTCCGCCGCCGCCCGTCCCGAGGAGGGAGCCGGCACTTGTTGCTGCCGCGATGGTGACCGGCCCGGCCGAGTAGGGACCGCCGAGCCCGTTCGGGAGAGCAGCGCCCAGCCCGGCCCCGTTCGGGGCATCGCGGGGTGTTGTCTCCCCGCAGCGCCCGGCGGTGACGGCGCTTCCCGGGCGACGCCAAGACTTTGGTCTCCGCGTGGGAATCGCGCTCGGCATCACCGCCCGCGCCAGGTGGTCCCGGCGGGCGGAGGGGGCACCGCCGCCCGCCCCATCCCTCGGCTGCAGCCAAAATGTCCTTCTTCAACTTTCGCAAGATCTTCAAGCTGGGCGGCGAGAAGAAGAAGAAACAATACGAGCACGTCAAGAGGGATTTGAACCCTGAGGAGTTCTGGGAAATCATAGGAGAGCTGGGCGATGGTGCTTTCGGGAAAGTGTTCAAGGTAAGGGCGGGCGGCGCGGGTCGCTCGCGTTCTCATAGCTGAGAGGTGACTCGGAGCGTTGCTGGTGCCTGCGGCGCTGCCTCGGGCTCCCTGTGTGCCGGCTCCCTCCCTCGGGATCCCTGCTGGCAGCGCCGGCTTCGGCTCAACTTGGCGGGGGCGCTGAGCGCTGCGGGGGGACGCGGCCGGAGGCAGAGCGGGGCATCCCGGCGCCTCTTGGCCACGGAGCCTCGTGAAACTAAAGATAGAAAAGATCTATTAGGTCATTGTCCCGCCTTGTGCTCCACCCTGCCCGCTGCTGGATTGCTCACTTCTCTGTGTTTTGGGTTTTTTTGGGACTCGTGTGCAGTATGGCTCCCAACCTTACAAAGACTGCATTTTCTTAGATCCGAAGTTAATTTTTTATTTTTTTTCCCCCTGTACGGAAGGAACCCCATGAACAGTAAAACTGACTCCTGTTCTTCGTGTGTAGTGCACAGAGGCAGGCTGTGGTCGCTTTAATGGGCATTATCCCATCTTGTTCCATGTGGAGTTGAATTTAACAGCTGTGTTCTCCTGCCTTTCCCTGAGTGCCGTAATCCATGTGTTGGATCTCCTAACTTCTCTCAGTTGTTTGCTCTTTAAATCTTTAAGTGTACTGGTACAAGTAGGGTTTTTAAGGATGCTTATCTAGAATTTATCAAGCCAAGTAGACTACAATGACACAGATACAACCTTGCTAGTGTTTGAGAAGAGTTCAGCTTTCAGACAAATCTTCAGCTACTTTGCCCCTTTTTAAAAGGGTGTTAATGCTCCGTGTTTGGTGTATGGATAGCATGGAAAAAACATCCTTACGGATAAACGTGAGAGAATTGGGAACTGACATGAATTGAAGCTCTGGAGCTGTTCTGGAGACTAAGAAAAAATGGCATGAGAGGATGGCATTTACAGTGTTTCTGAGAGCTAATTCGGTCAAGAAACATATTTAGAGTACTGCATTTGAGAGTTTATGAAATCTGGGTACTCATGAAACTTGTGCTATTTTTGGTAGAAGTTATTTTAGGTTCTGTTGTACTGTGGTGGTATCACCTGTTTGTGTATTTGAGCAGAAGTGCCACAGTACGGTCAGAATGTTAGGTGGGGTCATTTCACCCAAGGAATTTGTGTCAATGTTCTATATTAAGAACATGTAGTTTATTTAGACGCTGGTGTAGTACACAATCTAGATGATGGTTCTTATGTCATTTTTGAAGATTAGAATTCTGGGTTGTTTTTTCTTAAATGACTGTGAATATATCTGAAGTTGCTCTATCATAAAGTCTGCTCACCACAAAAACATAACTTCTTTAACATAACATCTTTAGAGCGCTTGCAGAGTATTAAAGTTTTAATTTGAGCTTCATAGTGGAGTTTTGATTCCAATTTTTTGAATATATGCCTCAGATGTAATACTAAATGTGTTTTCCACTTCCCCTCCCATCCTCAAACCTCTTCTCTCTTCACCTGCAGGCATGTCTGTATTAGCAATAGTAGTTGAGGAAGGTGTCTAAGCAAGGCAGCTGGTAAAATCTGCATTTCAGTGTACTGTGTACACAAGCAGGAGAATGTTTGCCACTTGGATGTCATTTTTCACTTTGAGATTTATTTCTGACTGAAATGATAGAGTTCACTGTTGAAATTGATTGTAGGCAGAATTACGATGTGGTTACTCTGGTCAACTTGTTGAAGTTTGCCCTTATGAGAATTAACAGGCGGTATTCTTGGAAAAAAAATTCCCATTTTAAAAAAAGTGGTAGGTTACTGCATGTGTTCATCAGCATTCTTTTTGTTTCCATGTGGTTTGAGAAGGAGGCTTACACACAGATACAAACTGTACTTGGGTTCCTGCACCCAAGTGTGCTGCCCAAGAAACAGTGTGGAAAGCAGGAAAGGTGTGTAAGGTTGTTCTTCCATGGATGTACACCTCACATGAGAAGCTGCAGGAATAGACATTCAATTCCTTTCCAAATTTTGAATTCAAAACTATAAGCCAGAGCAAAGCTCTCAAGAACGCTTGAAGACTTTGTCTTTCGGTAATGGAAGTGTGGGGGTTGGGGTTTTCATTTTGTGTAATGGATTTTGTTTTATTTGCCAACCTCCCCATCACCCTAGTGTCAGTTACATTTGCCAAAAGTACATTTGCCTTTGTTTAAGATCTTAGGATCTGTGTGTGACAGCGTTTTGGCAGATGCATGTCAAAATGGAATTACCAAATAAATAAGTCTTTGTATACTTTGAATTTCTAAAAAGTAGGTTAGATTGGTTGCATGCTATGATTTCCCATAGAGGGGTAATTAGTGTAGTTGTGTAACTGATCTTCTGAACTAAGTGTCAAATATTTAAGTAAAAACTCAAAACCAACGCCAAATGATTGTGACAGTACTGGGAAGCCTCCCTGATTAAATTATTTACTTTAAAATGCTGTCCAGTGATAATTCATTTTGTGTACAGAAGTCTTAAGGTCATTGAAAACTTGTGATTCATTCTCCTTTGCAATCAAGTACAAGGATCTTGCTTATTGTTTTAATACCTTAGCCAAATTTCTAGAAGAGCTTATTTGCTTTGAAGCTGTTTGTTGCAGCATTCTAAGGGTCTTTGAGTTCTGACAATTCATACATTTGTATTCACGAACTTCTAAGTAATGTTTAGAAAGACTCTGTTTCAACTGCTGTTGCAAGTCTCTTGTGATCAGAGGAGCTCTATAATTGCAGATTACTGATGGCAAAGGTTTATAGCCGTGTAGCACGTTTTATTCTGGCCCTTTTCAGGCTCTTCAAAGAGGCCACTTTTAGGCTGTTTTCTTTTTGCTCTTGGCTAATGAATAATGGTGTGGATTTCTGTCCTTTTACAATTTATAGGTCCTTGCAGTACTTCAGTGTCAGGTGATGGCCCTTGAAGAGAATTTCGAGTTGCCTGATGATAGAATTTTTTTTCCAATCTCTTTTATGTGCTCTTCATGGATTATTCAGAATTACTGAGTGGACTGATAGAGTTCTGATGGACACTGGAGGCTGATTTCAACTTTGAAATTTGGCAGTCAGACACAAAAAACTTCTAAAACAAAAGAGGGACAGTTTGAAACTGCTCTTGATTTGATTAGATGAAGTGCCCTGAAAAAAACACGGGCTCTTATTGTAATTACAATCAGTTTGCTTCAGAAAGTAGTTACATTATTATATCACATTGCTGTTTAGTGTGTTCTAGTACCCTATTGTGTCAAATCCCAATTCTGTGCACATTGTAAACATTGCTTTAAGGTAGATCAGTGTGTTCGTGACTTTCATCAGCTTTAAACTATTTTCTTAATTCCCAGAAGTAAATATTCAGATGATGTGAAAACAGACCTTTCAAATGCCTGATGTGATGTGTGGCTCTTTCTTGCTACAGATATCTGCATTTTCATTAATGATGTTTATCATCCTCAGTTTAACCTTTTGAATTAAATAAAGTCTTGGGCCTGTGCTTCACTAACATTTGCCAACCTCCTTTGGCTGTAAGAACATTGTACACTCACATACAAGAGTTACACTGCAGAAAGGCATTTTCATAGTGCCTAGTTGTTGTCATCTCTGAGCTCTTTATTAGAGGATACTCTTCCAAGAAATTAATGTACTTTTGGCCATGATATGATTATTCTGGGTACCATCTGCATAAATGTACTAATTTTAAGTCTTCTGTAGGAACAGATTCTGTAGAGGTAAAACATATGTGGCACTATACACTATAAGACAGAGTATCTCTATATGGTATGTGTATATAGAGATAGTATGTAATGTATACACATTTTTTAATTCTTATTAGGGAATCCTTTGGACTTGTCTAGCTTGGAATTTCATTCAGTCTTCTTTGTTTGAACTGGAGTGTTCTGCCCCTTCATAATATTCATTACACTAAATCTAAAATGTTGGAAGCATTGTGTATACAAAGTTGTCATAGGAGTTCAGAAAATAAAATAAAGACTTAATATGAAGTTACTAGCACAAGTTTTCCAGTTCTGAGCAATTAACTGGTGCTTGGCTTAAAAAAAAAAAATCAGTTTTTTCTTTAGGTTCAGAGAAGAAATTTTGTGTGAGCTGATAAC